TTAATGATTAATGACTCTATATCTTCAATCCTGATTCCCGACTGATGTATTCTCTCTGATGAGATTTGCTTTCATGCGAAATTAATCCACATATCGAAGAAACAAAGATTGAATAACTCGTGGGAGAATGTATTTTCACAAAATAAAAAATTATTTTTTTCGATATGAAAAAATGACCAGCAATGTTGAGAAATTATTTGGACCGCCATCTATGACGTCAACACTTTTCTAGAACTCCACAAGATGATTAAACTTGTTAGTTAATCCTTTTGTTTTACAAAATCGGCCAACAAATTAACATAAAAGAACATAAAAATTAACACATAGATAGAGCGATAAGCAAATAAAGAATAAAGGTAAACTCAAGAAAATATAATATTGCAGATTTCATAATAAAGTAAAACGCGACCGGAGAAATTTTGAAACAAACCAAAACACAAACTAAAATAGAAGTGCAAATAAACTTTTCCGGGTCTGGATGGTGTTAAGTACCCATTAAGATATTTTAAAGTAACTAGTTTTTGGGCTATCTAATGAGCATAGTATTTTTGAAAATTACATGAATATAAATCTATAAAATATTAGATTTAAACTAATGAATTTCATTTAAATATAATTTTAGTAACAACTATCTCGACAAAAAATCATAGCTACCTTTTAAGGGTAAAACTTGTTGTATTTTAATATGTTGCATGTTGGCTTATGTCTAAATTTCACTGGGTTCTAATTTCTTTTAACATTGAAATTTAGGCAATGATTTGTGTGTGTTTCTTCCGAATGTAAAAAGAAAAAGTTCATAAAAAGGCTAATGACATATTTTATTCAACTCAAATAAAGATTATGAGAAATAAAAATGCATGAACTTATATCTAATTTGAGCCTTATTACTTTGATCATTCTTTTAACAAAAATCATGCAACAGAAAATGAAGAATTTTATATGATATTTATCATAGTAATTGACACATCTTTTATGGACTACTGGAAAATAATAAGAATTGTCCAATATATACATTTACTTCTATCCAAATTGAAATTTATGTAGCAAAAAAGTTCTTCTGCAAACACGATTATTCAATGAAATTCCACTAATACAAAATTGTCTATAAAATTTTAGTTAATTTAAAGTGTTAAATCATTGGAAGGATTTTTCTAAAATAAAATTTAATTTTGTGGGGATGATGTGGTGGAGTTAGTAATATTGCTATTATTAATTAATTTTTTATAATAAAGAATAAAGACTCCTAGAAGTAGGAACTCTAAGGCGTAGGTTTCCTACTTTGAACATTTTTGGTATTTTTTTCTTTTACAAGTATGGTATATCATATAGTGCAAATAAGCAAAATTTAATATATAAAATTTATTGTATTTTAAAGGCTATATATTAGAAAAATAATTAAATGACTATTCTTAAATATTAAAACTAATTAAGTGACTATTTTATTCAATGTGAACTTTATTTTAAAAGGGTAAAAAAGGCGAACGACATTTGGTTAAAGGCCTTCGTGCTTTTAATATAAAAACTAGTCTTATGATACGCGCGTTGCGCGTGCACCCTATATTAATAGGTACTAATTTTATTGAAAATTACATAAATATTATTAAAGAATATGATGCAATCATAAAATAAAATATAAATATCTAAAAGTGATGAATATTGATCCTATTACAATCTCTTGTGTCTTTTTTGTAAAGAGTATTGCTTTGTTATGAAATCATAAACTCATAATTATTGGTTATGTTTATTGCTTAGCTGCTAGACGGAATTGTATGCTTCAGTTGTGATTTATTGTGAGGCAATTAGAAGAATATTGTACTCTTAAATTTCTAATAATTTTTTGGTAAGAAATTATAATTATGTTACATAGTTCATACCTGAATATCGCGAGTGAGTTCTTGGCTAACATCATGATAGAAATCAGATTTATGCCCTTTTTAAACAGTAGTAGAACAATACTTTAAGACTTAAAAACTATATCGACCTGTTTGGATTATAAACATAGAAGCACGTACAATGTAAATATTAGAACATTTACATACAGTTATGCTTAATACACGGTAAATACACGATAAAGTGACATTAAAAACTTACCTAACATATGCTTGAAGTTTGGGTTATGAACACCCAAAAAATATCGGCTCAGTGAGATGAAGAAGAAGAATCAATTGAAGGAGCTTTTAAAGAGACCTTCAATGGAAAAACAAAATTATGCCCTAAAAGAATTCCTTCTTTAACTTAAACCTATATTTAGATAGTTCAAATAAAAAAAAAAATATTTTATACATGGTAAACTTTTAATTGCTCTAAAGTTTTAAATACTACGATTTCATATCTAGTCCAAATAAAGAAAACTTTAATAACTAAAAAATTTAATTAACTTTTATGTCCTAAATATTAGAAAAATAATTGAATGACTAATTTTTCTTTAGTAATTTAATTTATTATAAAAATTAGTGTTAAATTCATTTCTTACTTCTCAAATAAAGATATTTTGTTTTAGATTTTTTTAGACTTTTTTGTCTTGTAGTTGTGGATCAATGAATTTATAAAATACTTTTAATTTAAGGTACTGTTAAAAATAAAAGAAATAGATATTAAAAGGAGGCATACACTCCTTTTTAACCCAGCATTTCGGGTTTCTAACCTATAACTCAACAATAATATAGACAAATTCTTGCGTTTAGTTAAGTTATTTACCCATTCAATCTAAAGTAAATTTTAATTGATTTTAAAATTTTAGATATTGATATTTCTTGGTTTAAATAAGAAAAGTGTTAATAACAAAAACTTTAGTTGATTTCAAATTCCTATATATTATGAACATAACTAAATAACTGTTTTTTAATATTTTTTAAGATAAAACGGATGAACGACATTTCGCTAAGTGACTTCTGTATGGGTCAAAATTAGACCAGAGAAATTCGGCACGCGAAGGCATAAAGCCAAGGTCGGACCGTCATCAATAAAGCCAAGGTCGGACCGTCATCAATAAGGTCGTGGTCGGATAGGCCGAGGACGGACAGTCATGAAATTGCTAGTTTGCTTTAGAATACTCAAAAGGAATATTCTACCGAATATTCTCTCTAAATTGTACCTTTTGTTAGGATTTTCTATGGATACCCCCCTTATAAATAGGAGGGGAGGACTTCCCATTCGGGGGGCTCTCTTTTTGGTCTCCCTCTCACTCTTTCTAAAAAATATGTAAACACACCTCTCCAAAGAATGGAGAGGATCAGTGATCCCATACCTTCATCGGATCCAGAAAGGGTCATAAGGTTCTTGTATTTGTCTACCATTGATCTTGATAAAATGAAAGAAGATCCATCTCACTGAAGATCGGGTGAATCTTTTCCTTTACTCATATTTTTGTTACTTAATGCATCTTTACTTATGCCATTAAATCCGATCTTAATCGCTGTCAACATTTATACTCGGCTATGTTTTTCTACTCATATTATTCGTCTCGGATCTAGAGTTAATTATCTTTAACTAAACTTTCAAAACCGCGGAATTTCGAACCCATAAACTTTATAATTTCTAAACCAGTAAACTTCCAAACACATAAACCTCCGAACTCATAATTTTGGAACTTGTAGAACCTTTAAATCGATAAATAAAAAAAAATTAAAACTGAAAAATATATTTAAAAAATATTTTTGGGGGGGGGGTGGGTGGGGGTGGGGGTGTCAGAAAACGAAAAAAAAAAAGAAAATTTAAATTACAAAAAAAAAAAGTAAATTTTTTTTTTGTGCGGGGTGGGGGGTGGGGGTGGTGGGTGGTGCAGAAACGAAAAAAATAGAAATTTGAAATTAAAAAAAAGTTTGCGGTATGGATGGGGAGGGGGTTGAGGGTGGGGTGGGTGGGTGGAGGGGTAGTAAGATGGGTGGTAACGGAAAATTAAAATTGAAAAAAAAAAAACCTTTTTTGAAGAGGGGGTGGGTTGGGTTGGTGAGGGTAGGGAAGGTTGAGAAGAAGTTTTGGAAAATGTTTTCCCTTCTCTTTATAAGGAAAATATTTTCCTCCATTTAAAAGAAATGAGTTCATAAGGAAAATGTTTTCCAAAATATTTAAGCCAACCAAATATGGGAAAATATTTTCCGGAAAATATTTTCCTTCATGCCAAACACACCCTTCAATTGAGACCATTTGATCGTTTATTCGTGAAACCGGTTGCATATATTTATAGTTTTGTTACATACTCTAAAAGAAAACAAATTATATAATGTAAATATAAACTGGTTTTTAAATTTTAAAAATTAGGACTTTTTATACAATTATTAGGAAAGATTTATAAGTAAACCATACATTAATTGTCCTAAATATTAGGAAAATCACTAAAATGACTATTTTGTACAATGTAAACTCTATTTTTAAAGGGCAAAAAAGGCGAACGACATTTCGCTAAGGGCCTTCGTGCTTTAAGTGTAATAATATAGATATAGATTATAGTTCAATTCAAATTAGTTTTTTTTTTCAAAATTTTGGAGTACGTTTATTTTATGTGTAAAAGGATATAAAAAAGTCAAAGTTGTTTATTTATAGTAAATCTCAATAGTTCTAAATATTATGAGTTTCTACATAGTTCAATAAGGAAAGATTTAATAATCAAATTTTAATTTAATTTTAAAATCCTACATATTAGGAGAATAATTAAATTACAACTTTGTCTAATGTGAAGCTATTTTTAAAGGATAAAAAAGGCGAACCACATTTCGCTAAGGACCTTCGTGCTTTTAATATAGTATAAATTAAAAGAACAAATGCATTAATGGGTTGAGATATGAGCCATCCAGACCTCCATCAAGTGCAAACAAATGAGAGGGTCTATCAAAGCTGAAACAAAATATACTCGCACTACATGTCTTAATGCTGATTGCTGTTGTTGGAATTCGAACATAGAAGCTCCACTCTTACTATATTCTTCAATCACTCACTTCTCTAATCTATCTATAGACTTATAAATGCTTGTAGCCAGTTACTAGCTGCGGGAAGAATGTGCGTAGTCCAATGTCTTAGCTTTGATATAATCCAACACAGCATGCACATTCTCTATGAAATAACAATATCGCACTTCCATTTAAGCTGGTTCCCAAACAAATCGGTGACAGCTTGCACAACACCACACTAAATGTCAGCAGACAAAACAAATACAAAAGGTTCAAGATATGATAAAATGACAGTAGTTCACAGAAGATCTCTCCCCTCGCATGGCGCTTGGCCAAGTGTTTATTTCCACAGGAGAATAGCCAAGAAAACGGAAATATAACCGCTCTTATTTGGTCCACCACATCAGGAAATCCTTGCGCCTGTTGATCTTCTTCTGCAGTTGGAGAACTCCATAAAGGAGGGCCTCGGCAGTAGGTGGGCATCCTGGAACATAAATGTCAACTGGCACGATCCTGTCGCAGCCTCGCACAACGGAGTATGAGTAATGGTAGTATCCTCCACCATTTGCACAGCTTCCCATCGAAATAACCCACCTTGGCTCAGGCATTTGATCATAGACCCTGCAATAAATTGCAATTGTACCTTCAGATTAGACTCCTTAAAACAAAAGGTAGCGCAAAGCACAATAAAATCACTTTGCATCTTAAAAAACAAATCACCAGAGACAATCAATTATCCTCTTTTTCACTGTTATTTTATGGGTGGAAAGGAGGTGATGCTAACTAGACAAATACTGAACATAGACCGAATTATTCTAGATGGTTGACAAGATTTCCCCAAGAACATGCTAAAATTATAAAGATATGCCTGATGTAGAGTGAGACTCTACATGCATTGCAAAAAGCACCAGCAAAGCAAAAATAAAAGTATTCAGGCATGTTCTGAGGAAAAGTTAACAAGTCTATGTGTTGCGTTGGAGGAGACAAAAGGATGTAAGCAACAGAAAATGAGCATCGGCAGAATCTTTTCTCCTCTTGCTCGGCAGAGTCAGGCTTAGTTGCTAAAGAACAGACAGCGTCAGTTTCATTTGGGTTTTCCTAAACCTGATATCGGCCATCAGGTTCATCCTCAACGGATGCTGTTATAGTTACACAAAGTTCTTCGAATAGTCATGCAATTTTTCCAAGCAATAACATTCAGTTTAACTCCACCATCACACCTAGTTGGTCCAGCACTGAAAGGTCCAAAGAGGTAAGCCCCATATTCTTATGTTCAAGTGTCAGATATTCAAATTCAGATATATGAAGAGCTGTCACAACAAACAGAAACTTCTGATTACATCGGATAAAATTCTCGGTAAAAACTCCCGAACCACCAGCGATTGTTAAAATCAAGTGCTAGACAGATTTACTTCTATACTTTAAGTTGCACAGATTCTTAAACACAAATCAAAAGCAATTTTTAGGGACTTCACAAATAAAGCCCGAGGATTGGCATTTCACTGCTGTAATTTCTTTTATATATATGGATACAGTTATCTTTTCTAGTTCTCAAGGATATAAAGAAAAAGTGACTTCCATATCTCAGGTGGCATAGGGCATACCTAAAAAATTTAGAGAGCACGTCTAAGAAGATAGAAAAGAGATCACTGTGTTTTTTCCCTCATCAATGTTTCTCTTTCTTTGCCTACTGCCTGCCCTAGGAAGATGCAACAATGCATATGCAACAGATCACATTGAACCTATGTCCACATAATTCAGACAAGCTCTAATATTTTATCATCTTTCACTGTTCATATTTCCAAAGAGAGTTTAATATTAGCAGGAGACCCATACCCTCCTATATATTCATCTCCTTAAGATTCTATTTTCAAAACATTAATCAGAACATTTTATACTCATATTCATTTAAGAACGACCCCACAGTGATCTGCGGATTGACCTTCAGGCAAATGCATGATAGCATTGAGACATGCAGCTTGAGTTCATGGTTATCTTGATGTTTTGGCAAAAGTTCTAGCAAATCGTCCAACCACTGGAACACTAAAGCAATTCAAAACACTGGTAGAGAGAAATGAAATGGAAAAGAGAAACCCCTCAACGAAAATTTACAAAAAACAGACCAACATAACATGTAACAATAAAACCTAAGCACTTCCGGACAAAATTAAATAGATGTAACGTCTATTTATTGAAATCCTCGAGGGCTAGTGGCGCATGGTTTCAAAACTCCGTAAATAACGGGGACGCCCCTCTACCCTTCTGGCCTTCTCCACTTAAATAGTACCTGCCCCTAATATACACATCATGTGCTACATCCTATTTTACACTAACCATCCATCAGATATCAATAGTGAGCACTTGTTTTTTTTCTTTTGAAATGGATAAATCAATATCAATAGCGAGCACATCATAACCATCATACAAGAAAACAATATTTAAGATATAGTATCATGTGCAAGTGCTTGTCCATGGTTACACTCCAATTCTTCTAATCCTTACAAACTGCAAATTGGTTGCCCTGCCATCAGTTACCACAGTGTTCACTAACTCTAGGTTTCACTGCTCAACTAATCATGATTTTCAGTGCGACAATCAATGAACCACCACATAATAACATACTAAAAGATGCATCCCAACAATTTCTAACGCTCCTTTGTGTCTTAGACATTCATAAAACAAGTCCTCAGGTACATCTTTCCACACAAACACACACATATATATTATTTCTTTTTATAAGTAACCCCTAATGTTATTTAAATGTGGTTCCTTCCATCATCCTAAAAGCATAATGCAGAATTAGGCCACCCCTAATGAACTGCATTTTATAACACATAGCAGATCATTTCGTAACTAAAATTTGGCTACGCTGCTCCTACACTCTATTTAGCTTTCATCCCTATATCCTTTTATTACCCACCTCTACAAATAGCAGCTTAAATTTTTCTAAATTTTACATTTTCCTGTGCATTGTATATTCCAATTGCTCGTCAGCTATCTGGTTATTTATGTTACAAATATTAAAATATCATAACTAAGATCGCTATATCCACATAAAAAATACATCAGACAACAAATGGAATAAATCTAAATAAAAGAATTGAAATGCCTACATAGTATAGGAAAAATCCATGAAATCGAAAAAAATAGGGTTACTGCAGGGCATACTTGCGAAGAGCAGGGGCCATCTTATTGGTAAGCGTGCCAGCAACAATCATACAATCAGATTGTCTAGGGCTAGGCCTGAAGATAACACCGAATCGGTCAAAATCATAACGAGCAGCTCCAGCATGCATCATTTCAACGGCACAGCAAGCCAGCCCAAATGTCATGGGCCAAATGGAGCCACGACGAGCCCAGTTCATCAGATCGTCGACCTTAGAGATCACATACTCAGCCGTCTTCGATATCCCCGCCGGAGATGACGTGGACGGCGGAGGTGCGCGAGCGTACGTGGCCGGAGTGGAGGAAGAGGATTGCTGAGAGAGCGCCGGAAGAGTCGTGTGGATTGAACGTTGATAAAACGGCGTCGTTTGTGTTAGCCGGTGTGCGTTTCGAGCCAGCAAAGCCATTTTTTGTTTTCCTATTCGAAAATCCGATGAACGAAGAGAGAGCGAAAAACGGCAAATGCTATATATTTGCTCCGTCGGGTCGGTTATAGTTTGAGGCGGTCGGGTTTATACGTCACTCACTAACGTGGCAATTTCTTTAGCGTTAAAAGCTCCAAAATTAGAAGTATTAGAGAAATTTTTTGTTCAACCAAACAAAAATTAAAAAAGAATTTGATTTATTTATCACGGTGGTGAGGGAAGAAAAGAGGTAGAATTTTTGCAGTAAAAAAGAATTAGGAGTGTTGATTATTCGGTTCTTTTTCTACTTTAAAAAAAATATAATTTAATATAATAATTGAAAATAAAATTATAAAATATAATATCAATAATTTCTTGACGTATTATGCAATTCATATTTAAACTTTTCTATCAATAATAATTTTAAATTTACGTGTGCCAATGAAATAAGAAAGAAAGAATAAATTATGAAAAAAGTGGGGTTAAGTATTAATGTGCAACTAGCGATATACACAACTGACAAAAGGTGATTGTATTTAAAAATTGCAAGATAAGGGATAAAAATTGTGAAGAATGGCAGAGTTCAAAGGCAATTCAAGATCGACGAAGGAAGAAAGAACTGCCTTTGAGTTTTAATTGAGCAAACATGTGAACCTGCATTAACGGGTAAATCTAATTTGGCAGGTACAGTTTAATACATCAATACTTTGAAACCCTGTGTTTAACTGTGGAGTGTGTTTTCTTGGGCATTGGTGGTGCTTTTCTTTGTAATTTGAAGCAAAGCTGGGAACTTTGTCTCTCATCTTTTTCGGTTACTATGGATCAACTACCTTGACTTGAGTGTAAACTACAACATTTAGTATAAACTTTAGCCATTTGGATATGAATTATGATTATTTGGGTGTGAACTTCACATATATACAAATAAAAACTTCAGATATTTGAATATGTACTTTAGTCAGTTGGGTATTATGTTCAAACAATTTCTATGAACTTTAGACATAGAGGTATGAACTTTAGATATTTGAATATGAACTTCAGATATTTTTGTATAAAATTTAGTCATATGAACATGAACTTCAGGTATATCAGTATATTGATGTGAACTCCACACAACTGGATATTAACGTTGGATATTAATTCAAATATTTGGGTATAAAATTCAGATATACAAGTATGAACTTTAGATATTTGGGTACGGACTTCGTTATATTTGTATTTGAATTTAAAGCTTAGCAATCCCAGCTTGCCTAACTCCAAATTCACACCGTTCGCCTCTCTTTCCTCGAAAACATTCAACTAAAATTTGTCAAATAATTTAGAGATTGAATCTTTTTAATGTGACATTAATTTCTCTTGGTTGAAACAATAACAAAGTAATTGTCATTCTTACCAATATTGTAATAAAATTGCATCTTACCGTATTACTAGTAATTCCATATTGCTCTAGTAAGCTTAAAATTGGTACGAGTAAAACTTTTATGCCATTACATGATTTCTTTTTTCTAAATTATTTTTACAATTACATGGTTTCTTTTTGACAAAATACATAAATGGCCTCTTTAAGTCGTCCGCGGCGATCGGACAGACATCTAAACTGATCCCTTTATCATTTAGACACTTCAAGTGTCTATTAAACAAATCAAGTAAATATCCGAGTACAACAGATCATATGTGTGAGTTACACTTGCCAATTACATGTCAATGAGTCAATTAATGAATGACACGTGTAATTTATACTAAAATTTTGACACATATAACTAACAAAAAATGAAAATGCATTTAAAAAAGAAAAAAAGCCCTTCTCCTCACCTTTTTACCAAACCAACGCCATCCCTCTCCCCCTCCCCATTCCCTCAACTTCATCTCCTTCTTCCATCCAAAACCAACGCCACCTCTACCCTCTTCATCTTCTTTCTTCTGCCCATCTTCTGCATCCCCCATCCCTTTTCCCCAAATCCACCATCCACCCAACAAATTAAAGACAAGTTCTTCTTATCAGAACTCCTTCCCCTTCCCACTAAGGGATCAATGACAGACCACGCCGAGAAAAGCTCCTCTCATGCGACCTATCTCGCCGAAAATTGATCTCCGAGCAAATATGAACGAAACGATTCAACTGGAACCATCACTCTTCTATCTTCATCGTTTCCTTGACTATGAGTTTGGGCTTATATCACTTTTACTTCTCTAATTATTTATGGTGTAAAATTATCCTGAAAATTGTCGTCCGAGTCAAATAATTGGTTGTTGTTTATGTATTTCTATTGCAATGAAGGTGTTGATGGATGAAAAAGAGTGTTTATCTAGTGAAGATTTTGTGTTTTTTCGCAACTATTGTTGCGGTAATTTTTATTGCTTATTTCAGTTTGGTTTGGGACTAGTTTTGGCTCGAAGGAATTATACGGAGCTTTGGAGGTTATAGACAATGGAATTTTGTGATGAAAGGGGCAGTTTTTGGTGATTTACGGTGGCTTGGTTGGAGTTTTAGTGACTGATTTTCATGGCTTCTGTGGTGATTTCATTGTGGGTTGCAGTTGAGACGTTGACGTGATTTAGTCAAGCGAAGAAGAGAGGCTAAGCTACGACTGATTCTTAGGTTTTTTCAAAGAAAAAAAAAATAGGTTGAAAAAATGATTCACGCGCTAAAACTTTTATTAATAAATACACATATACCACATCAGCAATATGTGTTTAATTTGATATGCTTAATAGACATTTGAAATGTCTAGATGATAAAGGGGTTAGTTGAGGTGTTTGTCTGATCGTGTGGACAACTTAAGGTTTTGTCCGATCGTTGTGGACAATTTGAAGCGATTGTTTATGTATTTCGCCTTTCTTTTTTATTTTATTTTCAAGGGTTAGTGGCATATTTTTCTTAGGGTTTGTTTGGAAAGTCGATCGGTAAGTAAAATTGGTGTAATTACTACTGTACTAGGATAATAATTATACAATATAGTAATTATAATGACCTATTTGTTTCTCATAACGTAACTGCAGTTAGATTAAATTTTAAATGAAGAAGTTATCAAATATAATAAATATATGCCTATAAATATTTTTTTTATAAGTGTAAATGATATAAGATTTAGTATTTAAGATGCATATTTTTTCTTGAGTATACATTAATTAGTAATCATATATTTATAACTAATATTGTAAAAATAATTTGTGATGACCCAAAAAGTTATCACTTGATTTACAAGTCAATTCTATGTTCCGAGGTCTTAAAAACCTCCTTTTATCTCACCTTGGTTTGCGTGCGCGGCCCAGGCGCATATTCGGAACGCTTTTTATGTGAAAATTTGATAAAAATGATAATTTTGCCTTTAAAATTGAATTTAAGTTGACTTTGGTCAATATTTTGGGTAAACGAACCCGGTCCCACGATTTGACGATCCCGGAGGGTTCGTAGAAAAATATTGGACTTGGGCGTATGCCCGGAATTGAATTCCGAGGTCCCAAGCCCGAGAAATAAATTTTTGAAGAAAATTGTTTAACTGAAATTTTAAGAGGTTTTGGAAATTTAAATGTGTTTGAATCTGATGGTGCCGGGCCCGTATTTTGGTTTCCGGAACCCGGTACAGGTCTTATGTGGTATTTAAGTCGTGCCTGTAAAATTTGGTAAGAAACGGACTTCATATGACGTGAATCGGACCCTCGGCTGAAAAATTTGAACTTTAAGAGTTCTTGAGATTTTCTTTGATTTTGATGTTAAACTCGTAGTTTTAGATGTTATTTTGATGATTTGATCGCACGAGCAAGTCCGTATGATATTTTTGGACTTGCGTGCATGTTGGGATGGAGCCCCGAGGGCTCGGGTGAGTTTTGGATAGGCCACAGAGTGAAATTGGACTTAGGAAAACTGCTAGTGTGTTGCAGGTTTGCAGGCTTCGCAAAGCCTTGCTCGCAAATGCGAGCTCGCATTTGCGAAGAAAACATCGCAATTGCGAAAAGGGCTGGGCAGGGTGACCTTTGCATTTGAGAGGCTCAATGTCGCAAATGCGATCATAGCAGGTACCGCAATTGCGAACAATTGTTCGCATTTGCGAAGAAAGCAGGACTGGCCTACCTTCGCAATTGCGAAGCCTGATCCGCATTTGCGAACCTGGCATCGCAAATGCGATATCTACACCTGTGCAAATTATAACTTAGCCGAAATTTCAACCATTTTTACAACTTTCTCAAAACCTAAATTCTCTTGGGCGATTTTTCGAAGGCACTCACTCTTCCAAATCATTAGTAAGTCATTTTTAACTCATTTTCTTTAATCTATAACATCTTCTTACATGATTTCAACTCAAAATCAAGGGTTTTCATGGGGGAAATTGTGTGTTTTGGGTAGAACCTAGGATTTTTAAATTTTGGGGATTTGGACCTTGATTTGAGGTCCGATTTCAAAACAAATTATATATTTGAGTTCGTGGGTGAACGGGTAATCGGGTTTTGGTTCGAACCTTGAGTTTTGACCATGTGGGCCCGGGGTCGATTTTTGACTTTTTGGAAAAAACTTTAGAAAACCTATTTTTCATGCATTAGAATTGATTAATTTAGCGTTTACTGATATCGTTAAGTAAATTGTGGCTAGATACAAGCGAATTGGTGGTGGAAACAAGAGGTAAAGCGGTAGTTGAGGCTTGAATTCGGTTCGTGGCATCGAGGTAAGTGTTTGGTCTAACCTTAGCTTGAGGGATTAGGAGTTGTGTCTTATTTGCTATGTGTTAATTATTGAGTACGATGTATAGGCATGGTGACGATTATCTATACGTCGGTATCAAGCATGCCCGTGAGTCTTATACTATGATGAATGTGACTCCGTTTCGTATTATTTATGCTTTATATAATGAAATCTATTGTTAAACAAGGCTTGTGGAAGTATTATTGGTAATTGAACATTTTAGAACGTTGGCTCGAGTTGTGAATTGAGTTGTGGAAGTATTATTGGTAATTGAACATTTTAGAGCATTGGCTCGAGTTGTGAATTGAGTTGTGGAAGTAATATTGGTAATTGAACATTTTAGAGCGTAGGCTCAAGTTGTGAATTGAGTTGTGGAAGTAATCTTGGTAATTGAACATTGTAGAGCATTGTCTCAAGTTGTGAATTGAGTTGTGAAGTAATTATGAAAA